ATGCTCCAGGCCCCAAGGTGGTGTCCCAGGAGCTCTCAGCAGCGCTGCTGGAGGAGGTGGAGGGCGTCCTGAGGCGCCGTCCCGTCATCTGGGACAACCTGTACGCCAACGACTACGACTGCAGACGTGTGTTCCTGGGCCCCTACATGGGCCGTGCTCCCGGCCTCATGGCCAGGCTCCACGGGCTGCTCCTCAACCCCAACTGTGAGCTCCAGGCCAACTTCATCCCCATCCACACTCTGGGCACTTGGTTCCGGAGTGAGCTGGGGGGCTGTGCCCACCCTGACCATGCAGGTACCCGTGCAGCTCTGTGCCTGCCTCTCACTGCCCATCCCTGCCCAGCCCTGCAGCTTTCCTGCATGGAACCAGGGCTGCCCAGGCTGATGAGTGCAGTTCCTCAGGAATAGAGGCAGTGGCAGCCCTGGGGGACAGCCAAGATGCTCAGGATGGCAGCTACAGCCCGCAGGAAGCCTTGGAGCTGGCGCTGCATGACTGGGTGGCAGAGATAAACCAGCAGGCCCTGGAGCYGGGTAGGCAACAATGGATTTGCACATGCAGCATCCCTTGATCCCTGGAGCTCTGGATTGGCACTGCCAGGAGCTCGGTGGGTGGGGGTGAGGGAGGATGAGCCCAGGAGAGGGTTCTGGGGCTGGTGTGGCAGCAGGGCTGTGCATGCCATGGTGGGGAGGTGTGGGTGTCCATCCTGCCCTGCTGCCCCATGGCTGTGTGCCCAGTGGGTGTCCATCCTGCCCCATGGCTGTGTGCCCAGTGGGTGTCCATCCTGCCCCATGGCTGTGTGCCCAGTGGGTGTCCATCCCGCCCTGCTGCCCCGTGGCTGTGTGCCCAGTGAGTGTCCATCCTGCCCCATGGCTGGGTGTGGGTGTCCATCCCACCCTGCTGCCCCATGGCTGCCCCACAGAAGCAGTTTCCACACAGGTGCCAAAGGAGATTCCCTCTTGTTCYTTCCTGCCAGGAGGACGGACCGCAGGACAGCCCAGTGCCAGCCTCAAGGGAGGACCAAGGCCACAGCCCGGCACGGAGGGAGGACAGGAGGTCACTCCCGGCCCTCAGCCCCACGACTCTGCCCCTGGTGGGGCTGATCAGCACAGCCCCGGGCCCCGTGGTGGTGTGGCACCGGAGGAGGGGTGCAGGGAGGTGACCTCGGAGCCTGGGAAGGACAGTGGGAGCAGGACACACGCTGGTGGTCAGCAGAGCCCTGCAGGGGATGGGGACCAGCTCGCCAYGGGGAGTGGGGACAGCAGGGAGCCCTCCTCTCCTCTGTCCAGTGAGGCTGGGAGTGCCCACTCTGCAGAAATCCCAGTGGCCACCAAGACCCCGCACAGCCCAGGCCCCACCACGAGTTCCAGCACCAGTCAGGACCTTGCCCTGTCCACCGGTGATGCCAGGACAGGGGGTGGCAGTCCCCCCCAGTGTCCCTGCAGTGCCCAGCCTGAGGCCATCAGCACTGATGTGCCCCAGACACCCCCAGAGCCTGGGGCTGGGGCCAGCCCTGGCCCCCCAGCCCCACTGATTGATGAGGTCAGTGCCAGTCCTGGCCCCAGGGCACCAGTGACCCCAGAGAAGGCTGAATCGAGCCCTAGGGCACCAGTGACCCCAGAGGAGACTGGGTCTGGCCCCACAGTATCACTGACCCCCAAGGAGGCTACAACCAGCCCCACAGCACAGGTGACCCCAGAGGAGGCCAGGACCAGCCCCACGGCACCAGTGACCCCAGAGGAGATTGGATCCCATCCTGTGACAACAGGGACCCCACAGGAGACTGGATCTGGCCCCAGGATCCCCAAAGATGCCAGGATTAGCCCCATATCCCAGGTGACCCCAGAGGAACCCAGAACCAGCCCCACATCCCACGTGACCCCAGAGGAACCCAGGACCAGCCCCACATCCCAGCTGACCCCAGAGGAGGCTGGGTCTGGCCCCATGACCCCCAAGGAGGCCAGAACCAGCCCCACATCCCAGGTGACCCCAGAGGAACCCAGGACCAGCCCCACATCCCAGGTGACCCCAGAGGAACCCAGGACCAGCCCCGTGGCACCGGTGACCTCGGAGAAGGCTGGGTCTGGCCCTACAGCACTGATGACCCCAAAGGAGGCCAGATCCAACCCCACAGCCCCAGCGACCCCGGAGGAGGCCGTGTCCAGCCCTACAGCRCCGCTGACCCTGGAGGAGGTGCGGATGCTGGTGGAGCTCTTCTACCTGCCCTACCACCACGGGGCCCTGGCCCAGGAGCTCCTGGAGCACTTCCGATGGCTGCGGGCRAACAGCCTCAGCGTGGGGGTCCCGGCCACGGCGCCCGACGCCTGCGGGGTAAGGCCGGTCCTGGTGCCACTACAGGGGGGTGGCTGCCACGGCTGGCGTGTCCCCGAGGTGGCCAACCCCCGGGTGTCCCCAGGGCACGCGGTGGCGAGGCCGGGCTCAGTCGTTCCGGCTGCTCTGCGCGCRGACGTGCCGCCTGCACAGCCGCCTGGTCAGCACGGCCGGCCGGGCGCTGCTCTACGACCTGCACCCCTACCTCTGGGACATCCGTAACCTGCTGCTGGCCGCCAGTGCCTTCGTCCTCTGGCTGGGTACGTGGCTGATGSCAGCCCTGACTGCCCCTGTCACCTGTCCAAACCCAGCTGGGACAGAGTGTCGGGASTCTGTGGCACTGGGGCACCTCCAGGGCATCCACTGCTTCCCCACTGAGGAGGTGMAGGTGTCCAGGACCCACCTCTGAGGTCTGGGGTCCCTGGGGGTGTCAGGGTCCCTCCTCTTGACACCTTTTCCACTGCTGACCTGTGTCCCTGCCCTTTGCAGATGGTCACCTCCTCTGYGACCCCGACCCCAAGGGCACCTGGGGGAGCTGCTTTGGCTGTAAGTACGGGCACTGCCCTGGCTCACCCATCACCCCCAGCCCCACAGAAGGGCCAGCAGTCGCCATCAGGGTGTCCTTACCCACACTCTGCTGAGGGGAGAGGGAATGGCCATGGGAATGGCACAGTGGGGCAGGGTGAGGCACTGGGGATGGGGAATGGGAGCAGCTCTTCACCATACCCACAAAGAATTCCTGTTTCTAACATACGGTTCCTCAGCCCTTTGATCCCAAAAACCCCTTAGCCTGTCTGGAAAAAGAGTTCTGGGAGCAGTAACACCCTGGGTGACAAATGGGACTGTTTTTTGGATGCCTGTGCATGACTTCTCACAGTTTTCCCCTGGTTTCAAGTTCCCCGGYTGCTCTGTGGTCCTTGTGACCTCTTGTGAACCAAGAACTGTTACCAGGTGATGCCCTGAACTTGTCCAAKTTCTCYGTGAGCAGGASCAGTGTGCCTTGAGCCCCTTCCTCAGGGAAGCAGCCATGCAGGGCATGTTCTCCCCATCCTGGGCTGCACAGCTGGGGGACACGGACAGGTCCTTAGAGCGGTGACAGCAGGATCTGTGGCTGATGTCCCCCTGCCCAGCAGGTTTTTGTTCACCTCTTGCTTGTCCTGCTGCTTCCAGGGTGCCAGAGCATCACCGCCCCGATGCTGCTGGGGAGGGATGCAGAGCCCTGGGCACGGCGTGGGGGCCTCTTTGGAGAGCTGCAGGTGAGGTTGTGTCCCTCTCCGTGGGGGCTGAAGGAACCATCGGGAAGCCAARTCCCAGCCCTGCTTGGGAAGGCAGAGCTGCCCCGGGGCTCTGCACCTCGGCTGTGCTTCCTGGGCAGAGTCTCCAGCACAACCTGATGGATTTTATCTCTCCCAGGCACTGCTGCCCGTRGGGAACAGCTGTGACCTCTTCTACCACCCACCCCCGCTGTTCCCATCCAGCCAGCTGTACATCCTGCGCCCGCTGCTGCCCCTGGACAAGGTGGGAGCCATGGCATGGAGGGGCATCCTTCCAGAGCCTTTGCGTGGCCTGTGCTGCCCATAAAATGACAAATTATGGGTTCATCTGACCCCAGAGGCTGAGCTCCCAGTGTGGGGTGACACCTCTATGCTCAGAGCCAGCTGAGCTGGGGCAGCTCTTGGGTCTGTGGTCAGCAGCAGAGCCCCAGTAGGGCTGGAGAATGTTCAGCAAACCCAGTTCCCTGTGATGGGAGCTTGGGCAGAGCAGGAGAGGGAAGCTGGCTCAGCCATGGATAAACCAGCACCAGGTCAGGGTGAGGACGATCTCCAGAGCAGCCCCAGCGCTGATGTCCAGCAGTGCTGTGAGCAGATGTCAGGAAATGTCCAGAACAGGACAAGTCTGGATGGCAACCTCATGCAGCCCTCACCAGTCTGCAGCTCTGGGCACTGCCTGAGTCTGTGGGGATCCACCTCCAAATCCCTTCTTCAAACACTCATCCCGTTTTGGGGTCATTGCTGGGCCCCTGGTTTCCCATGTACCTGCACCACTTTTCTTTTTCTTCCTTCCTTCCTTCCTTCCTTCCTTCCTTCCTTCCTTCCTTCCTTCCTTCCTTCCTTCCTTCCTTCCTTCCTTCCTTCCTTCCTTCCTTCCT